TCTACTGACAATGGACGTACGCATAGAAAACGAGGGGGGAGGGGGGGGGTGAAGCCTCGATAATAATTTGTCCACATTGGCCTTCAAATGAGTTAAACAATCCGGCGGTGTGACTATCTGTTTGCTTCAACACGTTAATATTCCTAGTCCTTGATCGTTTCTGCGTGGATTAAATATCGGCCGTTCTATAGCATTTGGCGATGGTGGGGTTCGTCAGGCGTACGTACGCAGGTGGGTGGATGGGTGTAAAAAGTCCGCGTGCGTACAGAGAGGGGTCAAGTTTTGACAGATGTCTGCGTACCTACTCAGTGGATGGCCCTTATCGATCATGGCAGGAGAGGGACATGCCAAGGCTGTGGTTACACTCGGCGTGTGACGTCTGCGTGTTCTCTCTGTGCCTTTGCACGGGGTTTCCTTTGCGTTCTCTGCTGTAACTGCTGTTGGTTAAAACATCCAAAATACGGCCAAATTGTCTGAAAACGACTTCCGTTGACATTGCATGTGTAGTGGCATAGCGCTGGTTGCTGTCTCCGAGTCGCTGCACATGTACAGCACCGTACCAACATCAGCCCCCTACTGCGAAAGGTTGGCAACACTTTCCCGAAAAGTCTTGGTTATTCGGTGAGGCTATCTCTGAATTTCCATCGGATCTACTGCACCCACGCCCCCCCCACCAAGTCCTCTCGGATCTGGGGATGCAGATCTCTTATCTCATCTATAGACGACCAATATTTTCTTTCCCGAGTAGCCTCAATACTCCGTGGAGATTTCTTCCACGAGGTCGCAGGATCCGAGTGGACATTTGAAAACGTATATCTTACACACCTTCATTCTGTCGTCTTTCAGAAAGTCACTTCGCATTTACGCCATTGTGTTGCGGTGTCTTCGTGTTTAGTGCCATGAGCTACTTTGAGCGCTGTTATGTGCCTTGGGACATCGCTTTGACATCCGTAATGAAAGGTGCTTCATAGACAGAAGCGTGCATATTTTCCTCGGTAAATAGCCATCTTGCCACGAGGGAGTGGATATGCAGAAGTTTGTCTTTTAACTGGAAAACCAGAAGCTAGACTGATAACGGCACCCCCCCCTTTGGGGGGCACGACCGCCACATCAGGGGAAAACGACGAGAGGCGACTGGAACAAACGATCAGGACACAAATCACCACGCTGCCAAGTTAATTACGCGGGTTCACGTATTGTATGTATTTCTGCAACTTGCGTTTGGAAATGATACAAAAAGCACTTTGCGAGAGACATCATGGGCACCCATATAACATTTTTTCAAAAACAAAAAACTCCATAATATGAATATATAAAATGACGAACAACATTTGAACGCAACGTGGCATCACAATCGTGAAGATTGCGAATGAAAAAATAAAGTGTCCTTATTAACGAAGGCTCATCTCGTGTATATGTGCGAGGGGGTGCAACCCAAACGTCCGCACATACCGATCACAAACCAGCTCACTGTACTGCCACCTGCCCACCTCGCACAAGCACTCTGCGTGACCCATCCACCCGCCGTTTGAAGCTATCGGTTAGCTGAGAAACTCGTGACCGAGTGAAAATGACACCCATAATTTAATAAATTGCACACAAAGTCCAGATTTTCAAACTGGCCCATCTAGTTAAGGTGGAATCTTTGGATCCCCTTTAAAATTACCAATCTCCCCGACATTCTACCTCCCGACGGCGCGTGTAACCCCCGACAAAGCATGCCCAGCGTGACTATGACATCACCAAGAGCGTACATCACCTCCCGTCCAGCGGCACAAGTGGGAGCAGAGGTGACACTTTTGAACCAATATTTCTTACGCGGTTTAGTTGAGTAACCGAACCGATCGACAGAGGAGGCGATTACTTGATTGTATTACCCACCTAGCTCCTAAGTTCCGCTACAGTTCCACTCCTTACGACTTCCATGGCCAGACAAGCTCAAGGAGGAGGTAAGGGTGGCTGGTGGCGTGCGTAGTGTCGCTCTCCCATGTGGTTTCGGGCTGCGTGGTTTTCGGCACGGTGATGTCCGACGTTTCGCTTCGCGTGCCCGGTAGATGCCTGGGCAACTGAATTATCCATATTGTGACCGAAGTTTGGTTCCTTAAGACGCTCGGCACGTGCAGCGAAACGTCGGGACAACATGCCCGACAGCAACAACGCTATAACAGACGCAGTTGGTGTGGGCTGTGATTGAAGTTTTTTTCTTGGTTCACCGGCAGTGATGGTTCGATCGAGGCTTCGTTCTTTTTGGCGGGAACAAAACCCAATCCTTAACTGGTTTTGCCCAGTTTGAAGTGAAGTGTTTGAAGTGAAGTGGAATAATTGGTGATTTCAACACATTCGCAGTGTGTGGCGATAATGATGGTTGTAAATGTGGATAAATTGAATTAAATGGAATTGCCAGACCAACGTTAACATAAGTTGCTATTCTGAATTTTATTGTCTAGCATCTACCCAACTATATATTTGCCAAATTTCAGCTTCTCTAGCCCTTTCTAGAACGGTAGATGTTTACATAATCACATGCGGTATTCTGATTATAACACACTCCCGAAGGATGCACCCCAAACTTGTGCCAAGAGTCAATAAAATTTGACAATATCATCACACACGCACACACCTACCGGATTGTAAGACGCACTCGTTCCCCTATATTGTGAATCAAACGTTTGGGGTACGTCTGAATATCCGTTTGGGGTGTACGTGTGCGAGTCCAGATTTGCATGTAGAGATTATGGTGTAAGTTTTTTTAAAGATGCGGACCGATCCATTTTCCTGGTGGTGGTGGGGCAGTATCAATAAGCGTCATGTGGATGTGGACCTCTGGGTGTTGAATTTGTTGTCCAAACCCCCCCCCCCCCACCCCTCTTTTATTACCTATACTGGTACGACCCATTTTTCAGGATAGGTTCACAGCTAACTCATCAGCCAGGTGGCAGAAAACACTCATTGTTAATAACTTAAAATATATTACAACACAATACGACAGGCTGACGAAACTGGCTCGGGTGTGGCCCGGACTTTTTTGGGTTGTGTAGAGTTTAAGTAATTAGGATGTCTTCGTTCCCCATGCAAGACATTATTAGTATTAACCTTAGCGCGCGTGCGTGGAAACAAATGAACGTTAACCAAAATGCTGCTCATATCGTCGCACGCCACGTGAAAAAAACCACGACATCCTTTTTTGAGAACAAACTCCGTTCCACAACGCACGCACGTCTCCTCGTGCCAATGGAAAGAGGCGAGCGCCAATGAGGATGAGATGAGACATTGTGCGGAACGGGGGGGGGGGGGGGTGCCTTTTTGAAAACAATTCCTCGGCTCTGGGCAGATGTGACCAGTAACGTTATTATGAATAGACGCACAGTTATAACGACCTCTCACCCCCCCCGTGCGTTTATATGATTTTATCTTGAAGGCCATAATTTAATGAAGAAACTCGCGTGTTGTGAAAACCAATTATCAGTGTGAAAACAGCCAATTTAATGGAATTGGGCGGAATGGCAGTGTGTGAGAGGGAGGCGATAGTGTTTGTGTGCAGTGTGCCTCCACTCCTCCCCCAGCACTTCCTGCTGCTGATGGTACTGCTGCTTCTACTGCTGCTAATTTGATGTTAAAGCTGCTGCTGCTGATGATGATCCTGCATTCACCCCCACTGAAGAGGATATGCCTATGATGACAATGCCACTGCTGTTGCTTTATCTACTGCCGATACTGTTGCTCATGATGGCGATGATACTGCAGCTCATGTCGATATTACTGCAGCTGCTGTGGCTGATACTACCACTACACTGCTGATATGTATGCTTCTGATACTGTAGCTGACGACGACGCCACTGCCACTGATGGAGCAAAGTGATGCGGCCTTATCAAAGCTACGCTCACATTAATGACCAAGATGAGGAATCTTAACGATGAGACGATGGGAGCTGACCTGTGGTTTGGGCTCGCAAGGGGGACTGCTGCCGACAACGCAACACGAAACGAATCCGTGACACAATTCGGCAACATTCGTTTGACCTCCCCTCATTTGATTACTCGAACCTAGCGCGAGGAGTGCTGAAAGGAAAGCAACACATTGACGTAACGATTTCGTGACTGCAGGGATTCATATTCTTTGGGTCTTTCGGTAAAGTCACGTAGATAGGTTCCAAAAGAATTACGAAATAACGACGACGTTTCGATCGCAACACAAGCGGTCGTCATCAGGTGGCGATGACGACCGTTTGTGTTGCGACCGAAACGTCGTCGTATTTTGATATTTTGTTTAACCTATCTACGTGACTTTACCGAATAGACCCAAAAGGATAAGGAAAGCAAAACAATAACAACTCTGTGCGGGTGCCTCGAGCGTTGTGGCTTTAGCACACAGGTCAACGTTTTGTGGAACAACACGATGGAGGAGCCACCTACGCTGCTGGCAACAGTGCACGTTTGCGTTGCCACTTGTCCATTTCTCGCGGCACCACCACCACCACCACCGCTGCTCATGGTCAGGGCAATTCGTAACAGCAACCGGCACCGACGGTAACCGCCGCAAAATGCGTTTATCAGAAAAGTTTAGCCGCCCCAAAAATCTGCACAAGGTTCGCCGTTGCCGCTAACCCACTCGTTGGCAATGGGAGTGGCCGGTTGCAAACGGATTGTCACGTGAACTGTTTGCCCGGAGGTTGTGTGCTCTGTAGACCGAATCGTTGTTCGCCAAAGAGTTTTCAACTTTTCACAGGCTGGACAGAAACTCCCGTCACTCTCCACCACCGCTCTACCCGAGGCACCAAAGTTGCTCACGGCAAATGTGTCTCTGGCGACGGGTGCCGGTGACGATTGTTGCCCCAGTGCAAGGTGGTGGTCACTTACAGCTCTTTGCAATGGTTGGCCAACTCAAATCGCCCGCCCATATTGCCAGCCCAGCTTTGGCAGCAATGTCAGGCAAAGCAGCCAGCATACATGTGCAGTACAATATCACGAAACCCAAAAGAAAACAGCCTCTACTATATGTGCAAAAAAAACCATGCATCTTTATACATTAGAAACACAAATATATGTACAGGAAATATTAATATCCGTATTTTTTTGGATAATGTATATATTATGAACCTTTTTTGTAAATTAAACCCGTGGTTTTCGCGTTTACCGATACAGCATGTTTCAAATGTACAAACACCAATTGTGATAAAGCCACACGTTCTCGACAGGGCACGGGTACTCGAATGCGGCATATCGTCAAAATAATATTTACAAGAGGTTACAAGACGCTGCTGACGCACTTGACATACATTTGCGGCCGCGTTAACGGCGCTGACACAGCTCAAAATGTTTTGTCACCCTATACCAACAACTTGTCGGTGAAAATAATAAAACACAGTTAAGGGGTATTGTACGCACAGATGTCAGTGTGGCTCAACTGCCGCAGGAGGTAGCGTTCCCAACCGGCCCTGCTCTAGGTGCTCAATTGACACAACAAGCCTCTTGTATTTGGCCGCATCGGAGGTACGGTTGTTTTAACACTTTTTGACGCTGTGCTGACTGGCTTTTGGAAGGATGCGCGATCGTCTCTTGACGCCACTCCAGTAATCGCACAATTAGCGATTCATTCCAAATCTGCAACACGTAGCGATAGATCATGGGCGAGGACACCTCCCCGTGTGGGATGTCGGTCGTGAGGGCTATTTGACCACTCTTTACACGCCGGTAAAGCGCCCTTTGGTAAAGGCTCCGAAAGTTTGGACCAAAAATAAATTGTCTCTGCCGGCGGAAGAGAGATGTCTTCTTCTTGGTTCTTTCGGTAAAGTCACGTAGAAGGGAAATAATAAAATAATAAAAATAAAACATAATCAAATAATTTAATTATGTTTTTTAAATATTATGTATTAAAATAATTGTATTATGTTATATTTTTATTATTTTATTATTTCCCTTCTACGTGACTTTACCGAAAGAACCAAGAAGATGAATCCCTGCAGTCACGAAAGCTTTAAATCGAGAGATGTCTTCTGAAGGTTTTGCATCTCGGCGTGGAGCGGTGGGCGAAGAGGAAAAGTTCCGCTGCGTGAGTCGCGGCGAACAAAGTACGATCCACCGGCTTGCCGCGAACCGGCATGGCCAAGTTTGGTCTGACAACCGCCGCGACTGACGCAGCATGGGGAGGCCTTCATCCAGCAGCGGCGTGAAACGGGGCTCTGTGACGATCTAACTTGTGATGAAACCTGATGTGAGGCTGCGTGGACATCTGTGCGCACAATTAAAAAAAAATCGCTTAAAACGAATACTTATTCTTTCTCGTTTACATTTGAATGCTGTCAAATTAAAAAAGCAGGCACTCTGCTGAGGTGAAACGAACGGGAGTGAATGTGTTAAGAATGTGTTAATTGATGAACGTTACATCCAGGCAGGCAGGCAGGCAGCCCCGTGCCCATTGCTTGAATTGAATCCCAGGTTCAGAAGCAACATTACCAAGTTGTTGATTGCAATGTGCAACGGCAGTGGTGCACAACCAAATAGCCATTTGAACAACAGCAAAAAACCTCGCACCCATTTAATCATTAGCGCTGCCTCGAAACTGCACTTTGGCCTACTCTTCCACGCAGGCCAGACATCTTGGAAGAGGTAGGAGTGCCCATATTTTTACCCCCAGCACATGCCACCTGCCGATTGACCAACTGTGGTGCACCCATTCATATAATTCTGGTTGGGCGCAGGAGGCAGGGATGTGGGGAGGGGGAGGCAGAGGATGTAAGAAATTTGCCCCGTTGTTTCGCCTGCCGAGTTGAATCGGCGATCTCTGCATTGCCAGTGTAGTGTGCTAACCATCACACTATGGCATGGGGCACCGCGAGCGATGTGAAACGAGGAATTTAATTAGCGAGAGTCTCGCCACAGGACTGGGCTGTGGAAAAGGAGGGAGGCGAAGGAGGAAAAGATGAGAACACAAACTCATGGGGTGCAAACGCTGCCAGTTGCAAACCGCCCATGTCCTCGTTACACCCCATGATCCGTCTTTCCGCGTTTCACCATCACTTCCCATTCAAGCGTCGTCGGTGGCTTACGATGCGATACACTTGGATGCGCCTGATGATGGGTAAACCCGCTGAGACAATTCCCCGTGGGAGGCTCAAGCACTTGGAATTTCTAATTTCATGGCCTGGTTTTGCCACACTTGGATTCGGCCTGCAAATGGGATTGTTAGAATCTTGTTCCCCCCCCCCCCCCCCGTTTGTTTCAGCAACAGTGAACACCCTTTTTAACGCTGATGACGCGAGTCCTTTTAAACCTCCACTAGCTTTGGAAAAACATGTAATGTTACCGCTAATTTAAAATCTCAACCAGGTAGCGGCGACTCCCATGCTAGTTGCGGTTTTTATACAGACGCAAAAATAAAATGTTTTCTTTAAATCTTTCTCACAATTTTAAAAGTCCCTACCCTAGCCAATTTTTTTTCCTCCAAACATCTCTCAGTTTCCCATAATTCTTTCACTTACCCATGAGCCATTGCAACTTTATGGGGGTGCGACTAAAGCCCCCCCCCCAAAAAACCGCTGTAAACATTAACGATTTCAAAACAAAAGCGAACTCTCGCGTAAATTCGCTCTCTCGACCGTGCGTGCAGCGCTCAAGACTCCAAACGTTGAAAAACAACAGCAACAATAACAGCAATGATAATAACATGAATGCGAATGAATACGTCGACTCGATACTGAAAGTAAAAAAACAAACTGAAGCACTTGGCGGTCATAAAACTTTCCGCGGGTGCCATAAAGCTCAGCAGTGAGACGGGCGACCTCAAACGTGACCCCCAAACTGCTGGATACGCGACGACGTCAAAGCATAAGCCAAAAAACACTCTTTTAAGTTGAATTAACATATTCTCTTGATTATAAGATGCTCCGTTAAGTAATAGACGCACCCCACAAAACGTACGCCCGGTTGTCAATAAAGTTGTGCAAATCTGGTCAAACACACACACACCGACCAGGTTACAAGATGCACTCCCAACTTTTGCTTTAAAATAAAGTAGGGAAAAATTAGCGCCTTATAAATCATGAGAATAATACGATGGCCCTCGCTGGCGTGTGTGGTTACCAATCACGTGCTTGCACACGCGCACACACGTGCGTACGTACGCCTACGTGCGGCGTAGGCCTCGGCAAGGTAAGCTAAAAGGTCAAAACAACGAGCCTACCTTTACCCCACCTTTTACCCTTACCCCATACAAAATACCCGTTTACAGGGCAATTACTGGGGTACTACACATGAACGAGGTTTATAACAGGTAAATGCTAGGTAGAGCGCTTTATTCATAAAGAATACTCTCGATGATTCCAATTTAAAATGGAGGCCACGGACTGCGCCACGGTGCTTTCAGTGAGCAGTAAACAAGGTGTTTACCTGGTAATACTTCGCGCTACCTTTACCTTACCCCTTGGTAAAAAGGGTAAATTACATTACCTTGCCGAGGCCTAGTGCGGCGTCAGTTGCCCCTTGTGATCGTACCGAATTTATTACCGTCACGGTCTTATCTTCGTTACCCAAATGCAATTTTGCCAACTCTCATCTGTTAACCACGACCCACCCGCACGGCACGGTGGACTCGCTTTAAGTTATATTCGTGTTTTACATATCTCTATGTTTGCGTTCCGTGTGTTTTTATCTCCCTCCGTCGGTCCCTGACCCCCCCCTTGCCGCGACGGCTTCAGCAGGCGTCGTCGGCCTCCGAGCCTCTCCGCGTCCGCGCGTGTCCGTTCTCTCGTCGTCCGCCTCCTCCGTTGGCCGCCACCGCCGTTGTCGCCGCGGCAGCCGCGGTCTCGGTCGCCGTCGCGTACTTCCCGATGAAGGAGCCGTCCTCGTTGAAGGGCACCTGGGTGTCGGCATCGCTGGCGCCGGCGCCGTGGCGCCCCCCGGAGCGCACGCTGTCGCTGCTCCCGGACGAGCCACCCTGCAGTGGTTTGTTTTCGTTGTCGCTGGAGGGAGCGGAGAAAGGAGGACGGGGCGATATCGCCGGGGAGTGAATCGGTGATGCGTGCCGGTAAGCCGAGCGCAACGCCGACACGGTAAATCGACCCCCCCCCTCCATCATGCACGACCTTAGAAGCTAAGCAGGTCCGAGCCTGGTTAGTGATCTCGGATGGGGAGGCTGTCGTGGAAATACTGGGTGTTGGAGGCTTGCGTGGCCAGGAGAGGGCAGCAGAGCAATAGATGTTCCAATCAATGTGGAGCTTTTGATTGTTATCCTCCTCGTATGTGTGTTGGTGGGTTTTCTACGGGTCCCCAATTGCCTCCCGCATGAAGCCAACTACTAATGAATGGCAATGGCTATCCCAGTGCGTGACCTTCTTGAAGAGACAGTCTTGAGACTCAGACTTTCCTGGGAAAAGGATTATTATTCTGGCAACAAAAACTCGATGGTTTCCCATGACTAAGCCAAACGTATTACTCTAAGAATGATGTGTCTTAATTTGAATCCCTTAGCCTCAGGCATTAATAATTAACTCCATAAATCCTTAATGTGCCTTAATCCGGCTATCTGTGTTATGGTAATTATGTGCATATTTACCTGCTATGACATGTGTCATAAGTATGGACTTTATACAAATAAAATGGAACAAATGCTGACATCTGTGCAAGGAAGCATGCAGAATTGCATGCTGGGAATTACACTCAAGAGTCGGAAAGAGGAACGTGGATCGGAGAACATACCCGTGTGAGAGACATCGCATTCTTCAGAACACCAATTGAGCTTGGGGCAGATGCATCGATAGGAGGGACGATGGCCACTGATTGAGACTATCGATGGGGTGGCAGTCAAAGGAGAGGAACGTGCCTGACAGGGCGACCATCGCCAGAGATAAACTAACTCAACAAAACTTTATATTTTTTTACCAGGGTGAGGCCCACCGAGCTACGTAGCCGTTTTTTCAGAAGCGACCCAGCCACAAATGATAGCTCAACGAAGTGGCTTATCATGTGAACATTTATAGCAACCAAATACTCTTAAACGCACGTTGATTCTAAATGTCCAGGGAAAAGCCGGAGGGCGCGGAGGACAATCCACGTGACCATGGAGAGAACATGCAAACTCCAGATATATATACAGGCGCCGTGGTCGAGATCGAACCCACGACTTCCTACATACTAGGTGAGGTAGTTAACATCTCGCCACCACAATGAGATCAATCTGCGTGCAGGATCTCGATGGATCATTGCATCGCGACACCATGAGGGGGGTGGCAACGGCTTGGGGAGGCTCGCATCAGGCAGTGGATAATCATGGCTGCTGACGATGACGATGGCTGAGTATAAACGCGAAGCAATAATGCAAATGAACAGGAATGAAAACGTCCGCTGGACGTTGCGAAGTTAGCGCGAGCTCCGAGCGACGTCGCCACGTCCCGCGCACCGTCGACGTCGTGGTGACCGACGCAGTCTCTCAACACAGACGACGATCGTAACGGTGGCGACGAGCTGCACGAACAACCCTATCAAGGGCAACGTCCATTATAAGCCGAAGCTGTTGCCAAATTAAGTTACGAACCAAATTAAATCGACTGATGTTTTCCAGGACAGGCATCGGTGACCAGGCTCGTGACGGTTGAGTGCCCCTCTAAGATGCGATTTTTTGTGATTCCCATTTTTCGCTTAGGGTCTCAATGAATCCACGTGTAAGGGTGCTTAGAAATGGGGGCGGGCGAGGGGGGGCATGCACCGGGTGGGTGGGCAGACGGATCGCGCCCGCGACGGGGGCCGCCTCGGCACTTACCGTCTCCGTATTCTGCGCGTGTGCGAGCGCGGGGTGTTCAGAGAGACAGGGGGAGAACATTAGACGGGAGTGAGCTTGGAGAGATTGAGAACCGACTCGGATCTCTCAACTGCCTCAATCCACCGCTCGGTTCTCAATCGCAACCACCCACCCACCTACCTACCCACCCACCCACCTACCCACCCACCCACCTAACTGCCCGCCCACCCAGCTACACCACCAACGACTCGCTACGACCCAAACACATGCTGCCAAACCACCCGTGAACCCACCCACCACCCGATCACCCACACATCTACCCACCCACCCAAGCAACCCACTTCACCATCCAACCAACTACTCAAACAACAAATAGTGGAAACTCACAAAATGCAAGGTGTTGTTTAATTTCCAATTGAAAAGTTATTGAACCAAACAGTGTGGCCTGACCAGGCGATGACCCATGTGAGACGATGACAGCGATGACGATGTTTACGATGCCGACAATAATCATCACGATGATGATGACCAGGAATTAAACTTAAGATGTATACGACAACAATGGGATGGGATAGACCTTGGTCAGGAGTTAAATTCAGGAGTCTCAAGGCTTGGTGGCTGCATTCAAATATAGGCCTTATAATTTTTCAACTGGGGGGGTCTCAAAATTCCGAATACCACGCACATGTTCAGGTATTTTTTTTCTTCTTCTAACAAGCAAAATGTTCCTCCTACCGTGCATCTGGTTGCATGCGGTGCGTTACCTGCACTCGGCAAAGATGTTCTCTCTCATTTGCTGATTCTCAGGGTCCGGGTAGGCGCACTCTCGCTCTTTCACTGGAAATAAAAAAAACACGAGGAAGAAAGCTCATGCACATGCATGAATTCTCTAACGCTTCCAGAAATATCGTTTAACAGCCAAAGTATTTAATTAGCGATCGTAATGGTGTCGTGTGCGACGGACGCGCAAGGAGCAACGACGCGGCGGCTCGGATAGCGGCCCTGCCGGGGAAAGTGTGCGGGCAACGCTTTGATCGCTGCGGACAGTTTTCTCTCGCGGACGAGTCCCTGACAGCGACGCAACTTTACACCGAAGCTTCGTTCACATTCTAGAATCCTTTACGAGAGTCGCAGTGCCCCTGTGTTGCAGACGGACAGCCAGGGTGGCAGACAGAGCCAATGCGTCGGCGCTTTCAATCACATTGAAAAGTGCTAACGAGTCAGTGGCCCGCAGAAGGCGATATCACAGAACTGCTTCGGAGATCTCTTGAACAATGCACAACATGGACTGACGCCGCTTAAAGGGATACGTAAACCAGTAAAGCTAATGATTCCTGCCTTGCGGGACACACAATGAGGCCGTGCATTCTGAGCTTGTCCTGCACGAGTGCGAAACTTCACCAATGACCAAAACGACTCTAAAAGTTACGGTAAAGCCACTGGGGAGTGCGAGCGGACGTCACCGTCGCCGCAGTTGCCAACGTTGCGCTGCAGGTGGCGCCCGGCACCCCGCGTCACCCGCCCGCACTGCCAATGTGGTCGCTTTATTCTTACCGAGTCATCGTCCCGGTCGATCGCAACCTGTGGTAGTTTCGTCGAGCCTCACTGTGGACTTCATGTAGTCATTGTTTTAGTCTGGTCCAAAAACACGATATTTTTTTTTTGTAAAAGCCACTTGGTTGAGCCGTCATTTGTGGCCAGGTCGCTCTTGAAAAAGTGCTCAGTGGGGCCTTAGCTCGTAAAATAAAAATAATTTAGTTTTAGTTCTAGTCGACTACAACAGTGAAACAGTCCACCGCCTCCCCACCAACGTACCAGGTCAGCCAATTTATGAACTCAGCAAACATATTGTCAAATACTATATGTAGCCAATGACCTCGCAGCACTGCAGTCTCCAATAACATCGCCAAACTATCTCAGCCTGCGTCCTTTTTTCACACTCATTAGTTTCGTCACGTACAGTGAGTGCAACTGCACCCTCGATTATCTCGGGCAGAATTTCATTTCACACCCCGTTCATCTCATCCCGCCCGTCGTCGGTCGTCGCTTCGTTGGCCTCTGCCGGTGGGCGGCAGTCGCTCGTCACCGTCCATTTGCCTCCAGTCACCGTCGTCTTCATCGTCGTCGACTGAAAGCCGTCGCCCGACGAAGCCCGCACCGCTCACCCGGGTACTTGCCGCCCTTGCTGCGTCGCACGAAGCACACGACGAGCAGCACCAGCACGAGCAGCGCCACGGCGCACATGATGCCGATGAACCAGCCCTCCGTGGCGATCGTCAGCTGCGCGCTCGCCACCTCTGCTGGTGCCATCGTCAAGGATGGAGAGGAACGGGTGGGTGGCACGAGAGTGGAGAAAAGTGCAGCGGTAGTGAACGCAGCGTTCGTTATTGTCGTCCATGTACGACCTATGACCGTTGATGTCGATCAAAAGCGGTGATCATATGTGTTATTTTTTACTTGGTAACCTCCTGGCAGAGCGCAGTACTGACCGTGGGATTGGTTCGTCTTTTATAATCAGCAGCCATGATCTATCTACTGCTAAATGAAGCCCGAGAACTTTTACAAGCCGGCACCATCTCGCAACGATCCACCTAGCTCAGCATAACCCACTTGGTAAGTTGAAATATATTTAGGCTTTTTCCGCAATTTTGCTCCAATTGCAATATCGGCGTTGGTGTCCGATCGGAACTCTTGCAGTGAGCAGTGCACCATCCCAGTGCGTGTTGAGAACGGTCCGTGGAAGGAGACTGTGCAGAACTGTTTCAGTCCCATCATGTGACCTTTCTTGCCAGTATAAAAAATAATAATTGGTTGAATCTTGACTTCAAGCTTTCTTGACTGCAGGAATTCATATATTTGGGTCTTTCGGTAAAGTCAAGTAGATAGGTTCAAAGAAAATACATTTGTTATTTTGTTATTTTCTTTGAACCTATCTACGTGACTTTACCGAAAGACCCAAGAATATGAATAAGAATTGGTTGCTCACCCCGAGCTCTCAATGTCCTGACAGTGGCATTGTCTATGCGCTGTTCACTTTTTGGCGCCCTCTGGGGTCTAACACGCTTTGAGACTAGGCCCTAAAGAAAGCTGTCTTTGGTGTGAACCAATCAGTTTCAAAGACAATGCATCAAATACTACCAGAGCATGGTTTTGTTTGCATGTTCACCACAAGTACGTGTGGTTAATGCCGACACGATTCCTTGCAAAAGGTTTCTGTTCGGTGTTTAAACATCTTAACACCTGTTTTATTGCCAGAAAGGGTAAAACCTATTCTTATATGTTTCAGTGCCCCTTCATTCGACCTTTAAAAAAAAAACCTGAGAACCCAATTTAATCACGAGTGGCTGAAACCCACAGTTTTGAACTCGGGAAATTTGTGCAACTACCACCTCATTGGTCTTTTACCGTGGCTCCTCATCTCATACCACCGTCCCACAGCCGGGAATCGAACCCAGCTTGTGGGGTGTTGACTCATGGCTTGTTCATTCAAACCACAAGTGAAATGTTTCACTCGGAAGGCTGCGCACACATCGACGTGTTATTGACCGTGCTCATGCGGTTCACGAATCACGCAGCCTCCCGACCGCAGAGAGGGCAGCGGCGTGCGGTTCGTGTTTCTCTCGGCCGTGCACAAACAGCCCGTACACGCCAAGGCGCAGATTGGTTTTGCGGGCGACCGCGGCGACGCACAGTGACTTGCACTCCGGCGAAGAGGCAGCGGTGAGGGTGGCCACGAAATCGCCAGTGTTATTCGCTCTCAGGTCGCCACCACCACCGCCACCCATCGTCGCCAACAACCGTCGCCACAACCACCACCACCGCCAACATCACGCGGCGGTGATTTTACTCACCGCCAATTTCGCGTTCCAGATTGAGGCAGACGGTAAAAAAGCACGGGTGGCGACGTACGGTGCGAAAGAAGTCCAACATACATACACACAAAGAGAAGACCCAGCACCGGTGCAGAAACACACAAAGCGGCGGAGAAATCACCCCAAGGCAAAGCCGAGCCGTGCGCGCACAGAACGTGGCCCCATTGCCTGCCTGCCTGCCTGCCGTTTCGGATGTGAACATGAACGTCTCACGTAACTGCTCCAGCGATAACCCCGGCACGTCACGCAGCCACGTGGGTGGCAATCCCCGCGGCCACTCTCGTAGACGCTACGCCGCGACCCTCTGCAGCGATTGATACTGTTTTTAGATGTACTCTTTAATACATTAACACAATTGTGTTAAATATATATTTTTTAATGGTGTTCTGTGCGTTGTTTTGTTTACACGTTTTTCATTTTCTGCTTTGCTGAACTCATTTACACCCCAGGTCTCCCTTGAGAAAAAGAGAGGCTTCTGTTCTAAATGAGCTCTCAAAAAACACGAGGTTAACCAACTGATTCTGTCAACCCTATTCCTTGTTCGTCAAGGAGGTTGTCTTAAGTATACTTTGCCATTCTGGATAGTCAAGCGTGGGGAGGTTGTAGCAGGGAATTGAACTTAGCTCACCAGGTTCATAGGGCAGTGTGGAAACTCCACGCTCCTGGTAAAGGACTCTTCATCATCACGATCCACGGGCAGATAGCACCGTAGGTGTCCAATGCACATTTCGTCAATTGTTTCCACTTTCCTCTCTGTCTTGTCAAGCCGTTCTCTGTGAGGTCTTCCTCTCTCTCTGGTTCCTTCCATTTTTTCGGAACAACACACATTTACATTTTCCTCTTGTTGTCCATCCTACATGTGTGTCCGAATAGTGCCAGTTTCCTTCTCATTTAAAGTTTAACATGTAGGCTTTCGCGATCAATATCATTCATAATATAAGATTTTTTTTGGGTTGGATCGCGTAAATATAAATGTGTCGTTAAACCCGCCACCACCCGACACAGCCAATTAGTAGGGTTTGTCACATAAACAGAACGTGCCAATTCGTCACTAGTACAGCACACCGGTGCGTTGGAGAGCCAAGCCACAACATTTACAATCTGAGTACGACGTTTCGCCAGTAATTTCAACTAGCTTCATCAGGCGACAGCCAGATTTCATCACTGCCTGCATCAAGTTTTCTTCTATGTGCAACCTTATTTTACTTCTTACCTACTCATAAAGGTCATCTGTCAAAATAACATCTATATAGAACCATTTGCCAATTAAAAAATATGGCCTTAAACTGATCTCCAGGTCTCCTTCGGAGAAAGAATTTGCCTCCCAAATGCCCTCCATCGCCCCCCCCCCCTCCCCACACAACTGTCAGTTGTCTCATTACACAAAGACAAGATTGCCTGAGACTCTGCTCTGCCAGCACCGCGCGACCCAGCGATCGATCTTTGCAGAGAAACCGGAGCGTTGGCAAGCGCGGTTAGTGATTGCGACGACAGAACGGACAAGGAGGAGGTGCAACAAGAAAATCACGGGGAAGATAACATCCCCAAAGAGCCACGAACGCAAGCGGTCCTCAGCCGACGTGCCACAAGGCGTCGTCTCGCAGCGGACACATTACACTATTGACGGGCAGCGAGAATTGTGGAGAAATGTCGGCTGTTTATCGCCGGCGCTGCGCCCTCAATGACGCCGCTGACGGTGATGGCGCACGGCAAATGGGTGTTTAAGAGGCCGAGTAAAATCAATCGGCGGGAATTGATTTCGATTGGGTTCTTTGATAATTTTATTCTTGCCTGCCTGCATGTGACGGTCGCTGGCAGCAATCGTCGCAGACCAACGGCCGCTTGGCTCGTGACAAACGGACAAAGGGGAAGTAAAAAGAGCACATCCACGGTGACGTGCCACGGCGAGATTCCGGGTCACCGAAACGGGACAAGGCATCAGATCAGTGTCAAAAATCGCTTTCTGCCCCCTGTGAATGGGCCGTGTAAATGCAACCCCGTAAGGTTTTTGCGCTTGTGTGCCGTTTTGCTCTCTGACGCGTGTTTTCCCGTGCCGTGCCGCGTGCTGTTTCGGTTACCGTCCGACGTTTCGCTCGACGTGCCGGGGAGAACTTTCATTTAGGTTCAGGAAGAAGCTCACGGAACGTGGAAGACGTCGGACGTTATGCCGAACCAATACGCGGCACAGCCCGGAACGCGCGCACGTGGGAGAGGGGTGTGAATCGTTGCTCCTGCCGACCCATCTGCCCATGTGTCGAGTCGTCGCCTGAAACCCGACCTCTTGACCCCCCTCCTCTCCATCGACCGTGGCGGATTTTCTACGAGACGTCCTCAGCGTCTGCGTTTGCCACTCGGACGGCGCTCGAGATTCGTGACGGCGCCTCGCAGAATGAATGCGCTGTTGTGTTTGCAGAATGAGTGTAATCGATGACATTATCTTCTATTGTGCTCCACATTTCAACCACATCTTGGGGGAAATGCTATGTGCAGAATAATAATAATAATAATCCCATTGTAATAATGAAAAAAAATGTGTCTTCAGATTTGTCTCCAAGGCGTCCACATTTGTTGACCTCTTTCTGTGCACAGTGAGTGATTAAGTCTCGGCGCAGAGCAGACAAACACAATCACCTCGCCGTGATGATGCGGTCAGGACATCGTCTGAAGCGCAGAGATTGAATTCGTGCGAATTGTTTGATCGAGTTACAAACTTGCAGAGTGCTGATCTGCGTTTAAATGCCACGGCAAGTGCCAACTGATTTGACAGAAGCATACATCAGTCGAAATGTCCAGGTGAAGGCCCACTCTCTACCCTCAAGATGGGCCATTAAACACAAATATAGGGCCTCTGGGTAATTTTCTGCTGCAGGGTGTCTTTAGAGATCGAGCTGAGAAGTGTTTACATCTGTGCGTGTACGCCACATGAAATTGCTGCGGTCGCTTTGGTGTAATGTATTTCTTTCACTTTGTATGCTTAGTTTGAATGATTTCATAAAACGTAAATGCTTAGTAAACTCTGTAGCATCTATTACAGGGGTTGGTTCTTAGATTTAAAGAATAAGCATTGACACTGATTTGATGACTCGCTCACTGAAATATCCCTCCTTTGACCACCACCACCACCGCAACCGCAACCACCGCAACCACCATCGACCACCGCTACCCCCGCCACCACCACTACACCACCGCCAACCCGTCTCTCCGTGCACAGCGGGCGGTGGCTCCTCACCTGTGCTCATCGTCTCAACGGGCACCTCGCCGCCGTAACTAACGCCGCCGGGCGTCGTAATCGACCGAGCAGCGCAGGCGGTACGCGGTGCCGGGCTCGAGGCCCGAGATCACGGCGAACATCTGCCCGGGAGATACCAGGACTCTAACCCAGCCGCCGTCGCCTGGCAAGCGCCAAAGCGTGGCGCCGGCCAACAACAAAACAAAAGTGGAACAAACGGACGGGGGAAAAAAAAAAGATGTAAATGGAACAACAGATGTTAAAATGCAACGATATATAAACGGGGAAACTAATATATATACAGCTCTTCGATTTAAAGCATTCGTGACTGCAGGGATTCATCTTCTTGGTTCTTTCGGTAAAGTCACGTAGAAGGGAAATAATAAAATAATAAAAATAAAACATAATCAAATAATTCTCACGACGTTTCGGCCACAACGCAAGCAGCCGTCCTCAGGTGAAGAACAGGTCTGTTGGGAAGACAGCATCATTCAGACGCTTGCGTTGTGGCCGAAACGTCGTGAGAATTATTTTATTATGTTTTATTTTTTATATTTTATTATTTCCCTTCTACGCGACTTTACCGAAAGAACCAAGAAGATATACAGCTGTGTCAATCCACTGCTGGATGAAGGTCTCCCCACACCTTGCCTGGCCATGGGGGGTTGGTGTTCACATGCTTCGCTGCGCTGGGCAGTGCCGGTTGGTGAAGGGGTGAGGCCCGCGACTGGTTTAGATATTTCTCGCCACTGGTGTTAGCCGCGGTCGAGATATCGAACTCGGGACGCCAGGTTAATAGTGTAGTGGGCCACCGCTCCACTCCAAGAGAAATCATTATGTGTAAAACGATTGTTCATTTTAAGAAGTTAAATAGTAAATTCACATCACACAAAGATATGCTGCAGAGTGGAAGTCGTAGCCAAACTAAGCTAGCGATTGGTGACGAGTAAACATTCGATTTTCAGATTTTTAACATTATTGCTTTATTCTTAAACATGTATTTTCGATGTAGTCTTAATGTTAGCATCAGCACATCTATTTTAAGGATTTCGTCAAAAGTTTAATTATGGCCTACATCAATACTGTATGTTGATTAAGGGCTGCATCTATAATTTTATGAGCGGTTATATCCATTAGTATGTGCAAGTGAATTAATGGTTGCATATATATGAGTCGAGTAATATTACATTTAGATAAGAGGTCCAGATTACAGGAATGAGTCGGTGAAGTGTTGCATTACTATGTCTACTGAGGAATTACATCAATATGCATAAGTCTATTTAGAGTTAAAATGTATCGTCTATTGAGGATCCCCCCTTTGTGCATTACATCTGTAGTCTATTTCACATTGAAGATTACATCTAGAAGCATTGAGGATTACACTGAAGAGCACATCTGTAGTCCAGTGAGGCTTTTATTGAACATTACATCTGTGAGTCTATCGACGATTAACATTGAAGATTGACTTCTGCGAGTCTACTGAGCGACGCGTTGGGGCAGTGATGGTGGGTTCGTGAGGATTCGAAGGGTTTGCTGGGTCTTACTCTCGGCTGGCGCGTACTCAATGTAACGCACGTCGGCCGACCGTCCGCCGGGGGCGGCCGCGAGACTCAGGTTTACAAAATTCTCGCCCACGCCGGCCACAACGGGGTCCATCCAGGCCGGAGCTGGTGAGGACGCCGCGGCGACAACCGGGACACACGCGCACACGCACACACAGTCACGGCGACACGCGTCACGTTACGTTCCCGCCCGTCCCCAGGAGTTCGTTGATATGTTCATGGGCCCAGAAGTCTGAAGCGCTCGTCTCATTCAGGAGGGTCCTGTGAAAGGCTGTTTGGAATTTTTTTTCTTTTTTTTTTCTTCAGTAACACAAAAAGCTCGAACGCTTTCGTCAATAACGACACAAAATATATAATAGGGGACGTTCCAGGGCAATGGCCCTTCATCAGAAAACATTGCCCAAAATGTCGTCAAATGTTAGGACCTCTTATCCTCTTCAAGGCCACAATGTCATTGACATGGAACCCATTGACTTTGCGCACCACTGCCAACGCAGCAGCTTCACCAAAGAAATTTAGTTTTTTTGGGCAATTATTGCAACCAGCAAGCAAGGCGCACGCACACACGCAAGAAGGCAGCGAAAACACGTGCGCGCACAAACCCGGCTGGCACCAGTGCTCTTAGTGAGTTACACGGCTTTGAGTGTACGAGTGAGTGAGACGTTACCGTAATATTGTCATCATGTCATTATCGCCGTCACTATTATTGTTTTCTTTGTCTCTATCATCGCCGTCATCGCTAAAATCATCACTATCATGACCGTCATCATTATCATCATCATCATCACCGTCATCAATATCTTCACCATCGACACTATCGTCGCCACATCCATCATCACCATCATCACCACTGTCATCTTCAAAATCATCATCACTATCATCATTACCTTGTGACAACCGTGCCCGTCATTACAACGCCCACCACCGCCGTCATTATCATCATCACTGCCATCGCCATCACGACCGTCACGGCGGTCGCGTTGGTGGTGGTGGGGGGGGGGGGTCGCTCACCCACGTCGAGGTCGGTGGATCCCTCCTCGTCGGCGGTGCCGCCCTCGCCGGCGCGGGTACGCGCGCTCACGCCGAAGCGGTAGCGTGTGTTGCGCCGGAGCCCGTCCAGCGTGTGCGACGTCACGTTGGGCCGCGTCAGCTCCACGCGCGCCGGCGGTCCCAGCTCCGGGCCGCTGCCGTTGACTGCGGGGCGGACGAGGTCAGGGGCGAGCGGACGAGGTCAGGGGCGAAGGAACGAGGTAGCGAATGGGACGGGAGCAAAAGGGGAAGCGATGCTACAAACGAGACGGACCGCGCAGTTGAGATGCCAACTTCACGGGTAAGAAACGGTGAAAAAGTAGAGAGGGCGGACGGATCAAGAGAGTTATTACAAAAAACGAGAGAGCCCGTGCAACTTGAAATACACACATTGCACACGACAAGCAGTGCAAATGAGACGGTACAAATGAGAGAGACTGAATGAACAATGGACGCTATACAAACACGATGTACAAATAACCATTAAGACACACGCATTAACAAACAAGACATTGAAATGGGAAAGTGGAAACGAGAAGCACGGCACGTTTAAGACGGAACACATGAATGATTCATTAATTTAATCGAGGTGGTGGTGGGGAGGAGGAGGGGTGGGAGGGAGTGCGGTGACTCTCAGGGTCGTATCGGGACAGACTGCCAAAGGTCAGACCGAGAAAGGCAGAGGTCAGGCTGTCTCACCCACTCAAACAAGCGGCTCCTGTTTACTTACGACCCCACCCCCCCCCCCCAGGCTGTGGTGGATATTGATTGTGGAGAAATGCTCATAAAATACCAGCCAGTCTGTGCGGTTGTACTCAAATGAAATAATAATAACTGAGGACACCTGACATCATTGCCCTTGATAAGTGATTTTTTACCCTTCTATCTGGCAACAAAACTGACACCTTTTTTACAAGGAGTCAATGTTTACATAGACCACAATACCTGCAGTCATAATGCAAACAAAAACATAACTCTGATAATGTGCAGGTATTGTGGTCTATGTAAACATGACTCCTTGTAAAAAAAGGTGTCAGTTTTGTTGCCAGATAGAAGGGTAAAAAAAATCATTTATCATATTTTTACTGGCAAATGAGGTTCCAATGGTGATCATTGCCCTTCTCATAGTGCAAGGCTATCGCGAAGACGTCCTCTACCGCAGACGGTTACAGACTGCCAGTAGGGGGTGATGTTGCGGCGTGGTTTTTATACAATCTGAGAATAATCAGGTAACCTGCAAATCATTGTTAAAATGTGGCAGGTTTGGGGCCATGATGCCGGCACACAACGGCCAACGATTTCGAATAAACGCCATGGGTTGTTTAACGTCCACTGTGATGCAAACGGAGCGTGTTATTTTTAGCTAATAATGCACCCTCGAGTATTTACCGGGGCGGCCATGGGTTTCGAACTGAGAAGCGACGAACTCGCTACCAATATTTGTATCCGTGTCAAACCACTGACCTCTCAAGAATCCATATATCTGTAATACTACAGATAATTACACGAGTAATGTGACAATGATTTTCATCGATTGGACCGTGAAATTGCTCAATTAGTCAAACTGCCCTATGCTTAACAGGGGGAATGGCGGGGAGGGGGGTGCTTTGTCTTTATGTTTACAGCGAGAGCGTTTATTGAGCCCAGTGTGATACAATACAACGTGTTCATTCACCAACAAAGAGTGCGTGTGGACCCAAAGGCAGGCTGTGACATCGGAATAATTAATGTTTGTTCTCGGCGAAAATCCATTCATCATCTGCGCTAATTATAACCCCTCAAGGCTTCCTGGCAAAGACAAAAAAAACCCCAAACCCACTCCCCTCTGAATGATAAATGAACACAAAGGAAGGATTATTTCTGGTTAATTGTGTTATAAAATGTAATGCAGGTCTGCCTTTAAATAGAGACCTTCAGTCTCAACGGAGTTTTCCGCCTGGTTTAACTCACTTTCTTTCCACCGCTCGGTGCTCGAAAAATCGATTTTGACACTCCCAATATAAGCAAAGAAATAATAACAAAACAAGTGTTAATTCTTCCTGTTGGAATTTAGCCGAATTTAAGTGAAATAATCAAATGTCACACTGCTCCGGTAAGACAGCGGGACACAGCCCGTGACACACTCACTGCTCTGGTAGTGCAGCACGTAGCCGGTGATGACACCGTGCGGCTGCAGAGGGGGGGCCCACACGAGCGTGGCCGAGTTGAACGTGATGCTCTGAATGCGCAGGAACTCGGGCTTGGACGGAACTGGTAGGGGAGAGGGGTGTTGGTGGGGTGAGCAGGCATTGAAGGGGTGGGGGGGGGGGAGCAGCAGCAACCGATGTGAGCAGGGAACAACTCTCACCCAGATTGAATATTACGAAATTGGGAATAAAAAAAAAGAGGAATCATCGCGCCCCCTACTGGCAAACTAATTCCAGTTTAAAGTTCAGGCGCCGAGGTGCCTTGCGGCCACAGGGACAGCTGCCGCTGAGGGGTTCCCTTTCAAATGTGATGAGACGCGATATGAAGCACGCCGAGATGCCCCCGGTGTAAATATTACTTTCCGATTAATTTCATCACGGGAATTACACATTTCTGAATTTTGGGATTGTTGGGGTGCGAGGCCACGCTGCGTCGTACTCACGGCCCTCGGGCGTCTGGAAGGAGCGTGCGGGGCTGGGCGGCCCGTCGCTGCGCCCGTTTGACACGCGCACGTCCAGCTCGTAGGAGCTGAACGGCTCGAGTCCCGGTACGACGCCGTGCCGCCGGTCGGGCGCGAACACCAGGAAGCGGCGGTCAGAACGCCGCCGGCGCCGCCGGCGCCGCTGCTGCTGCTGCTGCTCCTGAGCAGGGCGTGAGCGCGTGTGCGGAAAGGAGAAGCTGCGTCATTATTTTTATCGTCGCCGACATCGTCATCATTTACGTATGTTTATGTTGAACTTCTTTCGCACAGTACATAGCCGACCGTGCTAACTGGAGGTGCGGGGGGAAGAACAACAAACTAAACATGATCACCGTGTAATCGCTGAACGTATCATTCGTACATTTAGGGTGATAGACACAGGTATCTCATGGATGCATTGGCTAAGTTCGTTTGTGAGTTTCGTTCTTCTATCTTACCAGTGAAATGAAATATTACTCGTTGGTGCGTTGTTAAACGCTTGTGCACCACGTGACAATTAATTTGGTTGGCTGGTGGAGGGTTTTATCGTGACACAGATTTGGTGAGATCGTTAAGTGGCCTCACCCAACAATTAATTATAAATGATCATCATCATCATCACGGCCACTATTATCAAAGTTTTATCATCATCATCATCATCAACATGTCGCTCTAAAAATCATCATCACTATAAAGATGATCGTTGTGGTTCTTGTCAGTAGATATATAGGTAGTCCCCACTTTTACGATACAATGTGTTCCTGGAAAACCCGTCGTAAATCATAGACCGAAACAGTAGAAACATCACTTGCCGATGTGCTTTTTCATTTTAACAGCCATATTTAACAGAGTTTAAAAGGTAACAAGCCACGAAAAACACTTGAGAATAACAAAAGCTTCAAGTGAAGTCGCATCGGAAACCAGACTCGGTTCAAATGTATTCGAAGTCGTGTCTGAAGATGCGTCTTAAATTAAGTTTCTGCGTCGTAAATGGCTCCATGGTGGCCCATAAACGTCGTGAATGTGGCTCGTAGTAAATCAGACCGTCGTAAACTAGAGACTGCCTCCATCATTGCTATAATCATAACCATCATCAGCGACACCAGGACCATCTTTACACACGTTCATGATCTCCATCACGATCGCTATCGTTCACATCGCACCACCACAGCCTCCGTGCTTGGGGGGGTCTCACTCGGCCCCGTCTCCTTCCCTGGGAGCTTCAGTCTCACCTGAGTGGGGTGGCCTAGGAGCTCTCGCACCTTCCAGTAGAACACCTTGGGGAGGTCAGGGGTCAGAGAGCAGGTCACACGCTCGGGTCAATCCAATCATTAACGGGAACTAAGTTGAGCAGCGGGGTGCACGTTGATATTTGTTGTCTCCTGTGTTTGCCCAAGAGACTTGGGTAAATATCAGGGCAATTACAGTACAATAAAATAAACAAATATTTTGTCTCTTTTCCCCATATTTATTACAATTGTGCTTATCAGCGTCCTGTCATGGGATGAGGAATCCATTTGGACATCTAAAAGAGATTTTAGTTTCAGGGCTTCTGTTGATTTTCTCCAAGCGGTGTCATTCACACTGCAGTGGTTGCACTTTCACAAACGCTGCCTCGTGATCGTTTGTCGCACGGCAGACGAACTGAAATTTTAAGTTCTCAAATCGATTGAAAGCATGGAGAGGTGAACACCTGAAATCACGCTTAAAGAAGAAAAAAGAGGAACACATGAATCAGAGAACAAATGCCGGGTAGAGACGTCATATTGATGGTGGATTGGTCGAGGTGTTTACTACCTCGCCTGGCATACAGGAGGTTGTGGGTTTGATTCCCACCCGTGGTCGCATAGATTTTTCTCCGGGTCCTCCGGTTTTTCCCTCCACATTTATCAACATGCCATACATTTCGACGTGACAAGCCACTTTGTTGAGCAATCATTTGTGGCCAGGTCGCTTCTGAAAAAGAGCTACATAGCTCAGTAGGCCTTTACCTGGTAAAATATAAATAGTCTGTTTAGAGTCTAATGGTGGAGTGGCAGCCAAAGTAGGGAACGTGCCCGGTAGGATGTCCACGGCAGAGATGGAGCATTAGATCTAAATTGTATTATTATATTGTGAAAGGGGGATGAATGGAGAAGGTGGTGCATGTGAATGAGTAGGGGTGGTGGCTGAATGAATAAGACCTGCAAGTAGAAGAAAACACAAAACAAGCCGTGTGAGTAAGAGACTGTGGTTGAATGAAGAAGGCTGTGCATGCGAGTGAGATGCTATGACTGTCAGAGACTGTGGTTGAAGGAGGCTGCGTGTGCGAGGCTGTGCGAGTGAGATGCTGTGGTTGATTGAAGAAGGCTGTGCATGCGAGTGAGATGCTGTGACTGTCAGATACTGTGGTTGAAGAAGGCTGCGTGTGTGAGTGAGAGGCTGTGTGAGTGAGAGGCTGTGGTTGAATGAAGAAGGCTGAGCGTGCGAGTGAGATGCTATGACTGTCAGAGACTGTGGTTGAATAAGGCTGCGTGTGCGAGTGAGAGGCTGTGCGAGTGAGATGCTGTGGTTGATTGAAGAAGGCTGTGCATGCGAGTGAGATGCTATGACTGTTAGAGATTGTGGTTGAAGAAGGCTGCATGTGCGAGTGAGAGGCTGTGCGAGTGAGAGGCTGTGGTTGATTGAAGAAAGCTGAGCGTGCGAGTGAGAGGCTGTGGTTGAATGAAGAAGGCTGTACGTGTGAGCCTGTGACTGCAAGGAGAAGGCCACACGTTGGAGCTCTCACCTTGTAGCCCTTAAGGTGGCCACGCACGGAGGCCTCTGTCACCGGCTCCCAAGACACGCGGACAAATGTGCTGTTCAGGACCTCGACGTCCACTTTGCCCGGTGCCTCCAAGGGAGCTGCGGCAAGTCGTGCACAGAGGGAAAAAGAAAAAAAATACCGGCAGCTGAAATTTGTCATCTGCTTTGGATGCGATCGATCGCTTACTAAAACGCCGAACGTCACCATTACGACGATTCTCGCAATGGGGGGGAACGTACGAGCAGAACATTTGTTATTTTGTAATAATTTTTTTAGTTTTTTACATCAATCTCCCAAACATGCTGGTCAGTGCCGACTAGTGAAGTGGTGGGGGGATTGGAGGTGGGGTGGAAATCAAATTCAGCTCGCCGTGTTCACAGCGCGGTGCACCAACCGGCACTGCGCTACCGCTCCACGGCAAATCACGAACAACACTTGCCAAGAGCTAACGGGGAGGAGAGGGGGGGGGGAGGCATAAATTAGAACCCAACGCAGCCACCCACGCACGCCCCCGGTAACACGGACCGCCAATTTAACAAACGCGTTTTGCGATCAGGCCAAGCGTCGCGCATCACCCGCGTGTGTAAATCGAGACCGCCGATTCCCAAGAGGGATATTCACGGGAGAAGCATTCCCCCCGCGTTGCTGCCGTCTCATTATCGCTTTGCCTGGCAGCGGCAACCTCGCAGCGGCGCGCCCGCGGATTGCGGCTACAGGTCGCCAACGCGGCAAAGGAATTCGACAAACGTCGAGCGATTTCGGACGCAACGGCCGGTCGGGTCACGCCCCGCTGTGTGAACTTCCCAATTGCACTCGGCTGCAAGGTGGCCAGATGAAGGCAGTTTGTGCACCAGTCCGTGCGAACCTTCGAGTGCAATCTGCTCGAATGCATGGCTTTGGCTTTCCAGTTTAACACGTAGGAGGCTTTCATGACCAACATCATCCATAATAGAGGTTGTTGGGTTAGATCGCGTAGATATATAAAAGTGTCGTTAAAACCCGCCACCACCCGACACAGACAACTAGTAAGGGTTGTCACGTAAACAGAACGTGGCCAATTTGTCACTAGTACAGCACTAACCGGTGTGTTGGAGAGCCAAGCCACAACATTTACAATCTGAGTACGACGTTTCGCCAGTAATTACTAGCTTAAGCATGCGGCAGCCAGATTTGTGGAGGAGTCTTACTGATCCCTTTATAAGCACTGCTTATAAAGGAATTTTCCTATCAACCCCAAAGCAGAGACCCGAGCTTTTGAAAAATAAGAATAGGTTTAACCATTTCTATTTGGTGTTTGAACATCTTCTTGGTGTTTGAACATTTGTTTTAATGCCAGAAAGGGTAAAACCTATTCTTATTTTTTCATACTTTGATACTGGCAGAAAATCTCTCATGATATAGCTGAGCCTTTCTTAACACCTCATGGTGCGGGATGGAATCTCGGGTGAAACGTAGAAAGTTATCAAAACAATGCCTGCTTTTCAACACTCCCGCTTCGGTTTGCTAACCACCCAAATGAATTGGCATATTTGCCCCACGACGAGACAACTTGATTTGACTGGCTCTGTCGGGTGGTGGGTTACAGCAAAAAAAAGAGAAACTGACATTGCACCGACGCGATCGACCCAAAAGAGACCAATAATGAACCAAGCCAAAGCAGCACCGTCTTAAAAAAACTATCATGTTGAAACGCGGCGGAGGCCTTCCCGCATAAATAATTGACGTTCATTATCCCTATTGCCTAATCCTATTTGAGCCGTGGCTTGAAAATCCTGCTGCACTGCACCCTGAAGGAGGTGCGCAGATGCAGTGAGGCATCCTGGACAGCGGTTGGGTGGATTGGGCGGGTTGCCAGTCGGTGGAAGTGGTGTGGAGGGAGTCCCTAAGGATTTCCCCCCCGGCATTCTGAACGAGCTTCTCGGGAAAATTGCTGACGTTGTTAACAACAACAACAACAACAAACCCGGGCATCGTCCAGCGCATGGTGACACCGCCGGTCGACTACGACGCCACCGTCTTATTGAATTGTGACGACATCAACCCAGAATGCACCTCGTGTATGTACTGTGTGTTGGAAAGTTCGTTCGCACCGTACGTAGCCAACCCGTGCTATTCGTTGGATCTTGGAAGCTAAGCAGTAGCCTGTATAGCGTGTAGTTGGGTGACCACCGATCACAAACAGGTTGTTATAGGCTGCGGGTTCTACATAGTAGGCGGTAGAGGGGAGTGGAGCAACATCCACTGTTGTACTGCACTGCAATGCTTCCACATTTATGCTCTCCGCCTTCACCTGAAACTGACGGTTAAATAAACCTCACGAAGCGGAACAGGAGTGGTGAGGCCATCGGCCAGCAGTGGACAGGCAGAAGAAGCCGTGCACATGCGTTATCATTATTATCATTATTAATTATTAAGCACATGCCGTTTGAACCACGAGCCGGGATTCCCATCGACGCCGGTCCGGTGCCCGCCGCAGCGTCAGCCCCCACCACTGCGTTTGACGAGGGGGGCCACCTCGTCACGGCAACGTCCTGCGCGTAGCGACGATCGTTTGACACGGCGTTTCCCGCTCCCCCCCCCGCCAACCACCCCGCTTGTCCGGCGACACTCACAGTCCTCGCCGGAGTATCCGATGACGACGCGAGGCTCGGGACCCTCGCCGGCGTCGTTGACGGCGCGCACGCGCAGCTCGTACGCGGTGAAGGTGGGCGTGTGCTGCACGGCGTAGCGTGCCGCTTCCATCACCAGCGTGTCGGTCCACGCGCCGCCGCCGTCGCCGTCGCCGCCCGCGCCGCGCACGCGCCACCCGACGAGGTAGTGCAGCCCCGGGCCGTTGCTGTCGGCGCCCGACAGCGGCTGCTCGCGCGGGCACACGTGCGCGCGGGCATCGTCGATCGTCGTTGTCATCGCGATCGCTCCGTCGTCGTTGTCGTCTTAAAAGATTGCCGTCGTCATCATCGTCGGTGTGTCATGGTCAGGATCACCGTTGTCATGATCATTGACGCCGTCATCAGCGTTGTTATCTTTCACGTTATAACCGTCATTGTCATCACCATCATCACCATCGTTACGCACGCCGCCTTTACAATAATAAACACTGCCACTGTCATCGTCATCATCACTGTTATCTTTGACATCATTGTCGCCATCATTATCATCATCATTGTTATCATGATCAGACACATTGTCATAACCGTAAAACATCCCCATCATCATCGTCATGCGCATTGACGTTGTGCCCATCCTATTCCCCTGGCTGCCGGCCCTCTCACCGTCCAGGAGATGATCATGTTGTTGGGCTGCGTGCCCTCGCCCTTCACTCCCGTCGGGTTCATGTCCGGCGCTGGGCGACGGACGAGCCAGGGGGGGGGGGGTGTCAGCGGGACGACGGGGAAGGCAAAAAGAAATCAAGACTTTTGAACGACGCACGTACGTTCGAATCACTTTAGGTCTCACCAGATGAAAAAGAACCGTTCACACAACAAAGACAAAGATCCCCTGCACAGCCTTAACAGACTGTTGGGGCAAGTGCTATTAGCGAGCACGTATGAAGGCCGCCACGGCACAGGAGGGAGTGGGTGGCCAGCACCACTCCCGGCCGCCTTTGTCTCCTTAGTGGCGATGTTAGCAAACCGTACCAGGTGCTCATTTGAGGCCGAGTCGACCTAGGAGAGGCCCAAGACCAGTTCAGACAATCGTCACCGGTGTTCGCCGTGAGCGGCAATCAAACTCGTGTCGCCAGGTTTGGAGGGCAGTGCGCAAGCCGCAACGCCACCGCACAACAGGAAGTGTTTTCGCAAAACACGGGGGCCACGAAAATGCTGCGTGAAAGTCGTTCATGTAAACACAAGGGTGTCTCGCAGATGAACGGCTTCGCGAGAAATGAACAATTCGCGCCGGGGGTACGTGGCTCTGCGTGTCGGCGATCCCCCCCCGCCCGTCTCTGGCGATCGTCTCTCACCGGCTGGACCGGTGGTGTGGGACTCGGAGGGGACGCTGGGCGGGCTCTCTCCCACCTCGTTGGCCGCCGTCACGCGGAAGCGGTAGTCCATGTACGGCGAGAGACGCAGCTCCGCCGAGCTGCGGTTGCCGCTGACGCGAGTCAGCTCCTTCCACGTGCCCGGGTCGAACCGCTCGTCCTCAAACTCCACGAGGAATTCTGGCGGACGGACGGATATGTGGATGGGGTGGATGGACAGATAAATTATGGACAAATTAATTAATGGATGGACAGATAGATGAATGGAGGATGGGGGAGGACAGATGGGTGGACATTTTTAAGCATGGGCTGGACAAATAGATGGAGGTACGGATGGGTGGACAGAGGGACAGTTGTACAGATGTATGGATGAACAGACAGATGGGCAAATATGTGGGTGGATGGAAAGATAGTGGGACAAAGTATGGATGAATGAATATAGGAGGACAGATGGACAGATAGATGGACAAACGGATGGAAGAAATGCACCTTAAAACCTATTTACGTACGCTTATTAAACTGTTAGTTCATTTTGTAAATTATTCTTAAAATGTATTTATAATATTATTTTTATGCTGAATGTCTGCTGCTGCTGTGTTCTGTACAGTGCTTTGAGATCCTTGATGAAAAACGCTATATACATGTTATTATTAAGAACAGATAAATGGACGGATGGACACTGAGGCGGACGTGTCTACGGGTGGACGGATGTGTAAACAAAACAAGACTGAAAACTCAATTTAAAATCTGATCCGAGGAAACGACGGCGTCCCCGTGCGTTCGGACAAACGGCACGGCGCGCCCCTCCATCACCGACGCCGCTGGCGGTCCGTTCCCTCCCGAACCGCCGCAGCTTCCCGCGACGTTTCGCAAAACCCGGGGGAAAATCCCCCGTGTGACGCAGCTGCACGTCACCACGGGCCGGGAGCGAGGGATCGACGCGGATTGATGTGCGGCGCAACGCGGGGGGGGGGGGGCGGAGAAGCTGTGCGCTTTACGTCTTTCGGGGCGGTGGGGGGGGGGGGAAAGAAAGTCGATTTCAGAGCGACGACGAATTACATTGGGTAGAAAGAAATAAAGCCACAGGGCCCGATTCGCATCCTGAGATATTGGGGGCAAAAGTGGCGGTGCAACTGGGCGACTGGCTCCGCTGTTTGGTGATAGAAATGATCGTGGAAATAATTAGAACAAACACGAATGATACCGTGCTAATATTTTGCGAATCGGGTGCAATGTTTCGATCGAGAACTCGGAGGCGTGGAGCCCGAGCTCGAAGTCTCTGATGCTCTGGCCTGATGCTCTGGCCGGCGTGAGTGAGGCAGGTTTTTTGGAGCTGTTGTCCTGCAGTTTGTAGCGGCCTATTTGTGATGTCCAAGCAAGCGTGAGCGGTGCAATAACCGTCATGGCCACAGTGTGGCTGTGATGATGGCGCACGTGAGAGAGAAACATTTTACGCCAATTAATGTGTCATAACAATGTACGATCAATGTTCGACCGCCTTACAAAATCCAAGTAGTGTTCAATATGCAATTAGCGTACAAAGCACTCATAATGTGCACAATTTGCGGTTATTAGCACCCAGCGGTAAAAATGTGTATGCCGCAATTCGTCAATCGGCTGGTCGCATGCGGTGTGGGTACTTACACCTCTTCCAAGTTATTTGAGCAGCGTGGAGGAGTCGGTCAAAGTAGAGGGGGGCTCCCAAGAGCCCTCTCTCTCTCTCGAGAGAGAGAAAGCGAATCCCCTTAGTCCGCCAACAGTGGCACAAGCAAGTAAATGCAGGGCTGCACCTTGACCAATATGAACTTAACTAGGTCCTGTAAGTGCGTATGATGTGGCTGGTGGGGGCGGCACCTGTAATTGGGGAGTTGTGGCTGCTCCCCTTGGCCCACTCCAGATGAACGCTGCGGTCCTGACGCTCACTCAGACGGAGGTCGGTCGGGGCGTCTGGTCGGTCTGAGGGGGAACGACGCGGATCAATCATTCAGTCGACCAACACGTCGAATGGTCAAATGGGCGAATTAGCCAACCGCTCGCTGGCAGAGTGCCAGGCTGATGGGACTTGCCCAGGACGCGGAGGGAGGTGCCCGCGGAGTCGGAGTCGGTGCCCGTCGTCGCGGTGCACGTGAACCTCGCCTCGTCCGCCTCCCGCACGCTCGCGATGACGAGGATCGAACCATTCACCCGATACCTGTGGGGGGGGGGGGGGTGCGCGATGGAGGAGGAAGTGGGGGTTAGGTGTGGGGGGGGGGGGGTGCAGCACCACCGGGAGACATGGGAGGAGAGGGCGGTAGTCACGTGATGAAAGATTCACACCCTCCACAGAGATCAGGCGATTGATCATGCATTATAAGTCGCGATTTGATTAAAGAATTGGTTATTGTTTTCATTTTCTTTCACCTGCAACCGTTCAATCCTGAATGCGCCCGACTGCATCGGATCTTGGAAGCAATGCAGGATTGAGCCTGGGTGGTATATGGGTGGGCGACCACCAAGGCGCCTGTCAGGCATTGTAGGTATCATGCCAATTGCTTACACAGCAAAGCAACTATGTTTGAGGAGTGCCCCTGCTACGCTGGAATGTTTTTTAGTAAGAGTTTTAGTGAGAGCATGTGAAGAGAAAACGTGCGAGTATTCGGTGGATTAACTCTTAAAAGTTCCACGCAGATAGATTTAATCCACAGGCAACTCTGATCATTTCCATCTGCGTGTGAACTAAGCCCATTGCTGTCCTGCCATCTCATGACCACTGTGCAGTCTGGTCATCCACAGCAAGGCTCCCGAGTCTCCGAAGGACTACATCAAAGTCCTCAATCCTGCTTATTTTATTGCATTTTGTTATTGTCAAACATCCTAATGCAGGAACCTCTTCAAAGAGAGTCATGGGACTCAGTGAGGCTTGCAACACCTGGCAAGCCCTCGGAGTCCTGCCCAGGCCCAACCCTGCTTAAGCTTGTGAAGTCTGATAATATACAGGGATGCGCTTTTGTCATATATTTGCTTGTGCAAGTATATGACGTGACTTTACCGAAAGACCCAAAGAATATGTGTTCACACTATTCTGTAACGCAGAAGTTTTTGCTACAATTTCTATTGGGTTATTTTTTTTTTGCTCTACTGAAATTCTACTCGGTTGATCATGCTCGAATTTCTCTTTGGTTCATTGTTACACTTGGATTTGATTTGATGGCATTTTGTCCTTTTGGTGACCGAGGTCACCGTTGCAAACGATCCCGTGCTGGTCTCAGGCTCGTTCTCATCTGGTTCAAGAAAATCAACTTGAAACCTGAAGACAGTGACACAAATTGTGTGGCGCCGTAGCATCGCGCATGCCGTTTAATTATGGATGGGAGCACCCTCTGGGTGAGTGGGAGGCAATCAAACACGCTGTCCTTTTTACCCAGACCCCCCCCCCCCCCGTCAGCCTGCTCCCACTAGCCCTAACAGCACCTGTAAACACCGCCGCCTATGAATGAACGCATTAATGTTAATGATGGCCATGAGGCTTTCCGCGTAAATTAACCAAGCAACTGTGTGTGTGTGTATATACGTGCACGTGTCTGTGTGTGTTTGTGTGCCTGTGGGGTGCGGCAATGTATTCGTTCAGGCATTATGCTACGAACTCAGCCACCCGAGTTCAATTCCTGCTTGTGGCGACAGATATGTCAAGCAGTCCGGAGCCTCCCAAAAGGTCGGCTCAGCGATGAGCACTTCCATGAGTACTTGGTGCCATGGGTAAACATCAACAGTTGGGAAACAAATATGAACGGGAGTCGTAATGGCCACACCACCGCCTCGTGTGCTGTGCCGGCCTTCACTCACAGCACTTGCCCCAACTGTCTGTTGAGGCTATATGGGAGATGTTTGTCTTTATCTATCTGTACATTTATATATCGTATGCTTAGTAATGCCAAGTGGTTTTTATAACCGAAATGGTGAGCGGTGGCCTAGCGGTTAGCGCAACGTGCTACGAACCCTCTGACCTGCCTTCAATTCCCAGCCACGGCAAAAATCGTTCGTGGTTATCTTTACCATTCCTGGCCTTCCCCTATGTTGGCTCAATCACGCATGAGTAGCTGGTGGGTTGTGTGAACGTCAGCACTGGTGAGGCAAAGGCGGATGGGCGTGGTGCTGGCCACAACACAACCTCGTGTGATGTGCCGGCCTCAATAGGTGCTCGCTGACAGCAAATGTCTCAACGACCGATTATAGGCCGCGCCGGGGATCTTCGTCTTTGTCCTTATGTTATAAACCTCATGTCAGAGAGGGTGGACTTGAAGGGTGGTGTTGGGTGGTGTTAGGCACTGGGCAGAAGGACGAGGTGGAGGTGCAGCGAAATGGCAGGAGATGGCAGGAGTTGATAGGAGTGGCAGGTGGTAGCTTGCGAAGGGTTCAGTGGGAGGGTGTGAGGTGCAATGCACAACAGTGGCACAAAGGGGGAGGCAGTGGTAGAAGTTGGACAGGAAAGGGAAGAGTGTTCGCTTGCGTGAGGTGTAGGAAGCAGTGCAGTTTGTGGCGTGGTAGGCAATGGTAGGCGGAGAAAGGCAGTCAAGAAGAGTGGCAGACACTACACTTGAAGGTGACAGGTTAGTGGGAGGTACGCGTCGTGATGATAGATGCCGGAGGGCAGTGGAGAGTGGCAGCATACGATGAGAGGCGGTAGGCGATATCTCAGTGCTGAGTCGGAGTAGGCGATGGTGGGTGGCACGAAGCAGTAGAAGCAGTGGTACGTGGTGAAGGGGCCGGTTGGCTGCAGTGCAAGGGGTACAGGAATCGTCGGTGGGCGGTAAAGAGTGGAGCGGACAACGGTAGGAGATGCGGGAGGCAGAGAAAGCAGTCGGACAATGCGGGGAAGCAGAGGGTTCAGTGGGGTCGATGGGGGGCAGCGATGAAGGGGGTCAGGGTTGTGGGTGGGAGGGGGGGGTAAAGGGGGCGGGACTGGCGAGCACCTGCTCTCGTAGGGCAGCACGGCGCCGTTGCGGCGCCACAACACGGTGACCTCCAGGCTGGGGTCGTGCCGCACGACGCACTCCAAGCGCACGTCGCTGCCCTTGCGAGCGCTCAGCGTTTTCGGGAGGCCCGAGATCTGCGTCGCCTCTGCGGGAGGTGGGCAACGGAGACAGTAATCGACGGGACGTCGGACCGATGGGACCACGGCAACGCGGCGCGGTGGCAACAGCGGTGATCCACGGACTGCACTACGCACGCGGAAGCCCTCGCCGTCAGTTCTGAGCTGGCTTTTTGAGCTTTGAGCATAAAGCGATCGCGGCACGATACACGGTAATACGGTGTGATCCGTTTAAAACATTTCTTCATCATCACCTACCATTCAGAGACACAAAACTGGCGTCATACGTTAAGTTCAATGCTTCAATTGCAACAATCAACCTGGCTGCAGCCAACACGATTGTTGGCGTCGCACGGTCCCCATTGGCCCATCACTCCTCTCCGGGCTCATGCGTCCCGGTGCAGCTGCACTGCCTGCACACTCAAAAGTTACGCCAACGACCCCCAGCGCTGAAGAGCCCCCACCCATCTTTAGCCATAGACCCCGACAGATGCACTCCGTGGTGCACCGATGTTAATGTTGCTCTGGGTCCTGGGTGTGTGAAAGGCAGATTGTTGAGGCCATTAGAAATAGTGACTGTTTGGGGAATGCCTTCATCCAGCAGCGCATTGTTTGTGATGATAATGATGAGGCTGTTCAGGGCCGATTCCATAATCCCCTCTACAAGCACCAAGCCTTGGCGAAACACCCTAGGGAATGAGGGAGTGTCGAGGCGAATTGTTTATAAATAGCGCTGGCCCAGTTCGCAGCTCGTGATTTCGGCTGGCGGTCGGTAGCACCGGCTCGAGTGGCATTTCAGTGGCGGTCCGTCGGCGATTCAGCGCCCATCAGGTTTGGCGACGGGTGTCGTTGCGGCAGCCGGCGGCGACGCGGCTACCTTTGACGGAGAGGCGCGCCTGGACCTGGTTGGAGCGCAGGTCGTTGCTCGCGACGCACGTGTAGGTGCCGGCGTCCGTGCGCCGCACGTCCGAGATGCGCAGCGTGCCGTTCTCGAAGGTGCGGTAGCGTGCGCCCTGCAGCTGGCTACCCTCCACGCCCTTAAACCTGGTGGCGCGCGGCACAAGCAGGGTAACGGGAAAGGTGAGAGAGAGAGCCGTGACTACCGACAACGCTGAGTCAACCGCCGGCGTTGTCGGTTCGCGTTAACCAGCAGGCCACGAGCATTCACGGCATGTCACGCTTCCGGAGTAGGGGGGAGGGGGGCGGGAGATCTTGAAGTCGAAGCGGTGCGACGAGGGTCACGGCGAGTGAGCGGGAGAAACGGCGTGCGCCGGGCCCGCTCGGCTGCCTGCATTGCTAACCGATGCTTAATTGAGAGAGAGGGAGGGAGAGAGGGAGCCAGGGCCCTGTCTCACCACAGGATGTTGGGGCGTGGCGACGCAAACACCTTGCACTCGATGTACACGACCTGCTTTTCTCTCGTCATGTACAGCCTGTCCGGCTCCGTCAGCATCCGTGGGGGCACGGCTGTGGGAGGGGTGGGGGGGACAGGGAGCGGGAAGGGGTCGTTCGTTAGGAGTTCATTGAACCGCAGAAACGCTAACGAGGGCGCGGTTCCAGGTGCGGTCTTTCCAGTTATCAACTTAATTAGCGATGGGAGGGAAACCGTCAAGTCGTGTCCCCATAAAGGTCAGGGGTTGTGACCGCAATTAGCAGGAAGGGGTTTAGAAAAAGAATTGCAACTTCAGATCGGTCTTCTTCGGTCTGCCGGATCCATCGAGATAAGTTTCCGAACGAGGAGACGGCGGCTTGGTGGTGCGTCGTCATCACGGGGACGGGCGCAGCCCTGGCACTCGTCGTGGAGTCAACGTCGGGGTCACGTGGGGTGGGGTGGGGGGCGGGACAGAGGGAGAGAAAGGGGGAAGGAGCCAGATGATTGAAGAGGAGTAGATAGAGAGACAAGTGAGGGGGCAGGGAGAGGAAGGCGGAGATAGGTCAGGAGTTGATAAAAAAAAGATTCAGGAAGAGAGAAGAGACATTTCAGGAGAAGAGAGAGAGAAAGAGAGAGGTTGGGGAATTAGGGGAGCGAATTGCAATGGAAGCAGTGGAGGAAGAACAGACACATTATATGAGGAAACACTGAGGAGGAGCAGGAGGAAGGATGGATGAAGAGAAGCCAGAAGAGAGGAAGCAGAATGAGGAGGTGGAGGAACAGGAGACTTTGAAGGCGGAACAAAATACGAGGGGAGGGAAGAGCAAGAAAGATGGGCACGAGAAGAGGGAGTTGACGGAGAGGATGAGGGCAAGTGGAGTGGAGGAGCAAGATGACAGAGGAGGCAGCAGAGAAGGAGGATACAGAAGAGGAGGAGGACACTTATGAGTTTAGCGAGAGGAAAGATCATGATGATGATGATGAGGGTAAAGACAAAGGTGGCGAGGAGCGAGGATTGTGGGAGGAGCTGCCCCACCCGTCCCAGTCAATAAACTTATATTATATTACCTGGTAAGGCCCTCTGAGCTACGTAGCTCTTTTCCAGAAGCAACCTGGCCACGAATGATAGCTCAACGAAGTGGCTTATTAGGTGGAAATTTATCGCAGCCAAAAATACTCTAAACGTATGGCGATTCTAAATGCGGAGGCAAAAACAGGACCGGGAGAAAAATTCCGTGCAACCAACGGGGAGAGAGACACGCAAACTCCAAATATACAACAGCAGGCGTCAGGGTCGGGATCGAACCCACGACCTCCTGCATACCAGGCGAGGTAGTTAACATCTCCTAGCCACCGTGATGATGATGAGAGAGACACGCAAACTCCAAATATACAGCAGCAGCAGGCGTCAGGGTCGGGATCGAACCCACGACCTCCTGCTTACCAGGCGAGGTAGTTAACATCTCCTAGCCACCGTGATGATGAGAGAGACACGCAAACTCCAAATATACAGCAGCAGCAGGCGTCAGGGTCGGGATTGAATCCACGACCTCCTGCATACCAGGCGAGGCAGTTCACATCTCCTAGCCACCGTGGCGCCCCTGGGTGCAGCCACCCCCGCACCCACGGCGCGGTGCTCACCCAGCACGCTGACGTAGGCGTTGGCGAGGATGGTGCCGTGCCGGTTGGAGGCCTCGCACTGGTAGACGGCGCTTCCGCCCACGCCCAGCTCGTTCAGCATCACCGTGTCGCCGTCCACGCGGCGCCCCGGGTCCGCGGGGGACTCTGCTCCACCACACGCGGCACGACGCGGCACGATGCGGCACGATTCGGGACGGTGACTTGACGCGAATTGTCCTGATTTGGTGCGACGTGGCACAGTCCGGTATGGCTTGCCATGATTCGGAACGAGTTGACACGATTTGGTATGATTTGGCACTATGTAGTATTAATGGGTACAATTGGGTATGATTTGGCACGATTTGGTATGATTTGGCATTATTTGGTACAATTAATTTAGCACAATTTGTCTTAATTTGGTACATTGTTCAGTGATTTGGCTGAGTGAGTAAGTTTGCCAATAGCTGGGTGAGTGTGTGCATGATTCGATGAGTGAATGGTTGAATAAGCATGCGAATTGGTTGGCTGAGTGTGCGATTGGCTGTGTGTGTGTATGTGATCGGCTGAGTGAGTGTGCACATGAGCGGACGAGCGTGCGGATGTGTGAGCAAGTCAGCGGGTGAGTAAGCGTATAGGTGGGCGAGTGTCTGACTGAGCGAGCGAGGCTGGCTCTCCCCCTATTTTGTGTGCCCTCGTCTAACCTTCAATGGGAGCGCCGTTGATGAGCCAGCGGATGAGCGGTTTCGGGGTTCCGTGCGCGCGGCACACGAGCTGCGCGTTGTCCCGCGGGGAGTAGACGCGGCTCTCCGGGACCGGAGGGATCCAGTACGGCTTCGCTGCAGAGGCCGGGAACGCACGGAGAGGATCAGATGGGAGAAATTTCCTCACGCGTGGAAACAAACAAGACAAAGGACGACGGCTCCCGCGTGTAGCCTTCAACGGACTGTTGGGGCAAGTGCTGTTTGCCTCGCAGCTAATGTAGGCTGGTGTGGCGGTGTTCACACACCACACCAGTATTCATTTAGGGCTGAGTCAGCCTAGGGAGAGGCCCGAGACCGGTTCAAATATTCATCACTGATGTTGGCGGTGAGCGCGAATTCAAATCGGGTCGCCGGGATTGTAGCGCACTGCACGAACCGCTGCACCACCGCTCTCCGTAAGTCCATACAGAAAGATCCCCTGCATAGCCTTAACAGACTGTTGGGGCAAGTGCTGTTAGTGAGCACCTATAAAGTCCAGAACGGCACACGAGGGGGAGGGTGGTCAGCACCACGCCCGACCGCCTTTATCTCCCCAGTGGCGATGTTTACACACGCACCAGGTACTCATTTGAGGCTGATTTGACCTAGCAGAGGCCCAGGACCAGTTCAGATAATCGTCACTGGCCGTGAGCGGGAATCGAACCCGTGTTGCAGGGTTCATAGCGCAGCGCGCTAACCGCTACACTACCGCTCCCCACATGCACCAACAGAGGCACACGCACACGGGCACACACCGCGCCCGTAGGCAGGCGGCTAGCCGGCACACACCTTCCACGGTGACCGTGACGGTGTGCAGCGCTTTGCCCTCGCTGTTCGTGGCGCGGCACTGATAGCTGCCGCTGTCGGCCTCCGACACGTCGTGGATCGACAGCGTCTTGTTGAAGTTGTCGAAGGTGACGCGATCCCGCGTTATCTCCCCGCCCAGCTTGCTCCACTGGAGCTCCGGCGTGGGGCTGCACACACAGGGAACACACACACACGTACGTACGTTCAACTTCTTTCACACCATACGCAGCCAACTGTGCCAATCAGAGGTGCGGGGGAAGGACAACAGACTAAACACAAAAAGCAGTTATCAAGAAATTAGTTTTCAATCTGGATTTAAAGTGCACAGCTCCAGCGGCTTCCTAACATTGGGAGGAAGAGCGTTCCAGACGGCCACAGAAGCGCATATGGAAGTGCGCGATGCTGTGACCGTCTTCTCTTCGAAGGGCTGCCAAAAATCCACTACGTGGAGACACGTGGGGAGATTCGGGGAGCAGCGAACGAGTACGCGGACGCACGCGGGGACACTCGAGGACACACGCAGAGACACGTGGACACATGCGAGGACACAACATGGGGACATGTGGAGAGAACAAGCGGAGACACGGGGGGGGCGGGGTAGGGAATGACGACACAGGAAGACGCGTGGAAATGTGAGGACACAGAGGGATGCACGGAGGGACACACGCAGGGATGCGAGAGAACAAGTTGGGAGTTAATACGTTTCTGGATTTGAACGAGGTGATTTGAAAGAACTCGGGGTAAAGTGAGAATGGGAGGGAATTCCAATGCGGAGACTGCCACCTGCAGTGCGGTGGTGGCCGAACAGTGCAGTGGATGAGGTGTCTGGTATCGACCGGATCCTTAACATGGGCGGAGGAATCAACGTGCAACGTATTTGGACCTGCAATATGGTGGTGGTCTCACCCAGTGTGGATGAGGCACAATTCATGGGAACAGTGACGGTGGTGGTGGTGGTGGTGGTGGTAGGAGTGCGTGAGTTGGTGACACTGCGTATTTGACTCCGTTGGCAGTTGGAGGCAGTCGCCCTCCAACAACAACGGAGGGCAGAGAAGCGACCGCTCACAACAATGAGTGAAGTGCCGGGCACAGTGGGGGGTACAGCTGGCGCATCTACCAGTCATCTCAGTCAGCCAACCCATGGCACCTGGGTCTGTCCCGTGACCTCCTGTCAGCGAGCCTTCAGCACTTCACGTGGCCTCAAAGTGCACCTGGTCTGGCACAGGTGCTGTGGTGACGTCACTGTCACTTAGTGGTGAATGACAGGTGTTGGTCCTGGTATTATGCTCTGTAGTGGGGAGCGGTAGTGTGGCGGTTAGCGCGCTGCACTACGAACCCGGTGACCCGAGTTCGATTCCCGCTCACGGCCAGCATCAGTAACGATTATTCGAATCGGTTCTGGGCCTCCCCTAGGTCTACTTGGCCTCAAATGAGTACCTGCTGCGGTGTTTAATCGTCGCTACGAGGGAGACAAAGGTGGCTGGCGTTGTAGCAGCCCACACCCACCCCCTCGTGGGCCGTGCCGGCCTTCAAAGGTGCTATTATCTAACCACACTTGCCCCAACAGTCCGTGACGCCTATACGGGGTTCTTCGTCTTTGATTATACTCCCCGCGCACTTCACAATGACAAATTTCCAACGCGACCGCATGCGATCGCGTTGGAAATTTGTCATTGAGATTCAGCGGGAGTAGTCGGTTGGGGGGGCGGGTTGTTATTGGCAACCTTAAAGGCTGCATGGGTGGTCGTGGGGCACAAAAAGAAAAACCAACATTAAATATAAAAGTCGACTTTGCGTTCTCATTCTATTCGGCTGACGGGAAACCAAATTCCGTTTCATTGCCCCTGCGGCAGGCACGCTGGGCTCTACCGGAGCGTTCTGCAACGCTGCCAAAGGATTGAGGACGTGGGGAGGACGATCAAGGCCGGACTCGAGGTTTTGGTTTCTACTTGCCGCTGACTTCTTCAGCGTCGACACGCTTGCGTACGCATTGGTTATTGAAGAGAGCTGGAGATAAGAGATGAGGACAAAGCAGTGGCGGGCGACGACGGAGCTCAGCGATTTCCGTCGCGCAACTGATCGCTCGCGTGTGGACCCGGCCGTGTGGTCGACAAAGTCCCCCTCCCCCCACGTGTCATCCCCATGACGATCGTGCGCATCCCCCACTGCTCCTCCCGTGCGCGCGCGATGTGTACGTACAGGCCCTGTGCGATGCACTCCAGCAGCAGTGTGTCTCCGCGGAGCACCAGCTTGCTGCTCGTTGTGCCCGCAGGTTCCAGGAACGACGGGCGGCTCTTCGACGGACGTTCTGTGCGCGTGCGTGCGTGCGATAACGTGGGCGGGTGGAACAACACGGACACAATTAGTTTGCTCACGGTCCATGAACGGAGCGAGGCAGTTAGTAGCTAGGCCAGGGGTCGGCAACCAAAATAACAAGAAGAGCCATTTCTTTCCAATTCGGTACAAAATTCAGTATTTCAAGATCCGCAATGCATCTGAGTACATACTGTTCATACGTACATATCGTCAAGAAGCAGCCCGTAAAGAGCCGCATGCGGCTCCGGAGCCGTAGGTTGCCGACCCCTGAGCTAGCCGATGTAAATGACGCTACAGGCAAGCGCTTGTCCTGAGGAAAGCTGCTCGGATAAGAGCTGAGACCGTTCTCGCAGTGAGCAAGGTTACTCGAGGGCTTGGGACGAGGCCTCGTTGGGAGAGAGCTCCAAAGTCCAGCAGCGCGAGGAGAAACGCAGGAATGGAAGCGCCGAGTCCTGCATTGTGGGGGTTGACGAGAGGTCGGTGAGCGCTTGACGTGGTGGGTGGTTGGGGGGGGGGGTGTCAAGGCGTGAAGTGCATGGCAACAAAGGGCAGCAGGGTGGCACTCGTGCCTCACGGCAAGGAGGGCTCGGGTTCGATTCCCAACTCGGGTCTCGTTCTGTTTTGCACGGGTTTCCTCCGGGTTCTCCGGTTTCCTCCCATGGCAAAAAAAGAAAAACCCACCGCACAATGTAACTGACGTTGGGCAAACATCCGAATGGTGAAAAACTGCCTGCAAATTACTCAATTTGGATTACACACATAGCAACATCGCGCCTCTACTGTGAAATCTTGGCAGGGCTCTCCTGCAAAGCAGTCTTGAGAGACTGAGCGAGGCTCAGCTGGGTCAACGAGCACAAGGATGATAATGAAAGGAATGACTGTGGATGTGACCGGGATGCATCTGTGAGCACAGAGGAGCATTGAGCAAATTTGTCAACGATTAATTGCGTTAAGCAGAGCGACACGAGAACTAAGGTATATACACACCAGGTACGAAGAGAGTACTTCAATTGAAATCAAACAAAACAATTAACACGTGGAGGTGGCGCTGTGTGGTTCGGTGTCACAGATGCTGATCCAGCACCACTGAGATTCCTGGGTGTGACTCCAGGATTTCGAGGTGTCCTGCGATTAAACCTGGGTTCGTCAAGTGCAGCAAATCGACGGTCTCAGCATGGCCCCCCCCAACGACTGCATCAAGAAGCCACAGTATTAAATGTGGTCGTTACTTACGTCGGCTATATTTCGGTTCAGAGAATTAACTATTAGTGGTTTGATGGTCATGTGATGAACGGTCTTTTCAAGGAGCATACACGATGTGTGCCGAGCGTGGATGGAGAGGCCCACACGAGAGTGATTTCAGAAGCAGTTCGGAGGTGTCATCTTCAGAGGCGTTGTTTTTTTTTTGACACAGGGTGGTGCAATGCTCACTGCTGGAATCTGAACGCAAAAGTTGTCAGCGTCGCGAAATGTCACCGGTTAGCACAACTGGAATATAACGAGGGTACAAAGTTAACATTTCCAAAATATCAATCTGCGCGTCAGCCTGCCGCGACGGCAAACAACGCTCGCGCCGGCGCAACGTTGCCATTCAAGCGCCGCCACGCATTAATTAGGCCTCTTGCAATTTACATTTTCATTCGTTGTCCTTAAGTGCATCTGTGCGCCTTTATAATGACTCCGTCCTAATGAAACGCGCCACCACGTCACGCCGACCAGCGAGCGGATCTTTTTTTCCTCTTTTCCGTTTAATTAAAATCCGTTCGTGTGTGCGCGTGCAAGGCGCGCGACAAATACGAGATGGGGCAAAGGCTTCAGGATAATCGCGCAGCGTGCCTCAGATCCCTCCGCGGCTCTCCGTGAGCGAGCGTGCGGCCGAGCAGGCGAGGGAGAGAGAGCCGAGCGAGCGCGAGCGAGCTGAGCGAGCGCACGCCATTTGCCGAGGGTTTACAGCTGTCCCCCGAGTGCACGCGCGCTACGACAGTGACAGCTCGTGACCGTAAATCCAGCCGCATCTGGGAATCGCTCAAATATCGGCGGCGGGCCTGCATCGCTTTTATTACGCTCGAACGTGACATTTTGCCGAGATGAAGGCGAGCCACGGGTTGATTGTGCCCCGGAATGTTAATGGTGTTCCCGCAAAGATGGCACGTCAACCTGCCGCTGCCACTCTACACACAAGCCATTTAAAAAACAGAAAAGCCACTGTGATATTTGTCGGCGGAACAAGACGCGGTGGGGCGTTGTCGCGTCGCCGCGTCTGTGTTGAGTTTCTGCCCGTCGATCCGCGCGCGCGTCCAGTCCGGCACGCTGACAGAAGCTGTCCCCACTCCTCTCGTTTGCGGGTGACTTGGAAGACCCCCTGGAAATTCTCCAGCCCGTGGACAACATTTTCTCTGTGTCACCCACCAAGCGAGAGTCCGTTGAAAAGAAACATTCCTGCCGTGATATATACTTGAACATTCACACGTATTTATATGTAGGCAAAGATCCCCAATACAGCCTTAGCATACCGTTGGGGCAAGTGCTGTTCGCGAGCACCTACAAAGGCTGGCATGGCGCACGAGGTGGTGGGTGGCCAGCACCTCTCCCGGCCGCCTTTGTCTCTCTAGTGGCGATGTTTACACACCGCACCAGGTTACTCATTTAAGGCTTAGCCAACCTAGAGGAGGCCCAGGACTGGTAATCGTCACCCCTGTTGGCTGTGAGTGGGAATTTAACTTGGGTTGCCGGGTTCGTAGTGCAGCATGCTAGCCACTGCACTAGATCCTCTCTGAAGACTTACAGCCAAGAGGGAAAGTGCAAGTTACAGCCACCTATTGTCGCCAGTATGGGGCTGGTGTGGCAAAACCATGCCTAGCCACCTTTGTCTCCCCAGTGCGTTTGACACACCTCACCCCGTACTTGTGTAAGGCTGATTTGACTTGGGCGGGAAGGGGGGGAGTGGGGGGGAGATGGCTCAGGGTAGGTTCAGACACCGTTTGCCATTGATATTATCTATAGTCAGGAATCGAACACAAGGATGCTGAGATCGTAGTGCAGTGCGCAGAACACTGCGCCACTGGTTCCTGCACGCACAACTCACACGCACGTACAGCACACACGGCTCCAAAGCCGAGCTGCAGAGTCTCGTAAGCGAGCGACACATTTTTGGGGCAATGTTCACCACTTTTTCGCGCATCAACAAAAGCACGCTCGACGACAACGACAAAAACAGCAACAGAGCAGTCGCACGGAACGTCGAGGACGACGAGGCGGAGCCGTCGCACGTTCCTACGACGACTCCCGACGTGCGCTCGAGCGTCGGCCGCGCGATCGCGAGTTCGCATCGGCGTCCCGGGAAAACTCTATGGCAGACAGCGCTGTGCGTACGTATATACGGACACGCCATATACAAAAATACGTGTGCATGTGTGTGTGTGTGTGTGACGTGCGATGCAACGTGCCTTCATACGTAAGTGCGGCGCAGGATGGAGAGATGCTAGTGGCGGCGTGATTCGTTTCCGTTCGGCGATTCGATGATTTGTCAAATCCAAGAGTCGCGGTCCGATTCAATAGTCAATGTTTTATCGTTATTCTCTCTGTCAATTTCTCCCCTTTGTGATCCCGCTTGTGCTGTTGGTCTTCGTTTCTTGTGACAAAGATACCATACGGAACTCCCGCAGAGCGGGGTAATCCTTCGTGTTGGACAACGGTCCACTGAAGCGGATATCACAGGGCTACTGCTCGCAATCCCTTCAAAAGATTCCATTAAATATTTTTGTTCATTACATTGTCGAAGATGTTAGCACCTGTAGTGGCTGCAGGGGGCCACGTGAATTAATTGCAATGTTTCTATCACTTAATTTTTGCAATTGTGCTATGATTAGTCTAAAAATAATTTGCCAGAGCTCACTTGGGCTAGAGGGAATTGATCATTTAACACCAATTTCTGTTTGTGAAAAATGTCAAATTCTTCAATTGACGGTGCAGTAGTTTATGCTCTAATTTATATTCTCTTCATGACTGTACTTTGTTTCATTTGTTGTTGCCCTTGTCACTTTGGTGATCCCCGAGTAATTCTGACAAAACGGGGCTCATTCCGCTCTCTTCAGTCGTCACCCGGTTAAAATTGTCAAAAACTTGAACGACTTTTCGCCATTCTTGGGCGCGTGATTCGACGCCTGCTTCGCGAGTGCGCAGATCGACGTCGGTGGGCGGGATCGAAGCATCGTCGAAAAACCAACGCCAAGAACATCCCCGCACGGGGTCGTCTCCATGTTGCTGTGACGAGTCACATCGCTGTACCCGTCACACAGACGGATGAGCCGCTGGTCCTCATGCACGCAGACAGCAGCGGCGGCAGGATTACGAATGCACGGCACTTGATTAGCCTCTTCCGGATTAAAATATTAGCGGCCTTCTGTTTCACTCAAACACGAATTTTCAGCAGAGCGTCGTGTGAACGGCATCTCAAAATTGTGTGGAATCGCCAACGCTGTGGAATCGTGAGGTTTTTTTTTCCTCGAACGGAAACCACGGACAAGGGGGGAGGGCAAACCAAGAACCGATGCCATCAATTTCCCAAACTCTCTGGTCCTCTATTGGGATGATTGGTCATCTCCATTAATGAGCGTTCGTACATGTGGCAGCAAGCCAGGGTACCCGGAGAAAGCCCGGATTGAAATGAAATGCACTGGCTCATTAAAGACAATGCAGTGTGGGTTGCGTGTTAGGCGAGAAAGTGGTGGGTGGGAAGATGGTGAGCGGGAAGGTGGCGGTGTGTGCGCTTGGTCGAGATGAGTGCCACACCACGCACCGCACCGGTCGCACGGGGGAAGGAAATAACCAATTGAGGTGCCAGCAGCACCCCCAGAGGTCAAGTAATGTTCCGCCTGATCAAGTTCACGGACGAGCGGCACAAGGGAGGATGGGGGATGCACGACAGGCAATCGCCCAAGGAAGAGGAGGCCGGCCCGGTTGTCAGAAACGCCAGTGACGGCCACGCTCGTG